AGAGGATGGAAATAATTAGCATCTAATTTGGAAGAGAATGATATAGATTTCAGTTAGAGATATCATGCTTGTGCTTTTAAGGAAACACAGAATAATGAGTAAAAGGAGTAATGAGAAATTTTGCAAATTAAGATGAGGCAGACTATTTCATATGGGGGAAGATAAGATTCATTTTATTCAGCCAACCCATTCTGTAAAATAAAAGTGCTGCATGTGTATACGAGTACAGAATTTCCAAAGTGGCTTCTGAGGCATCTTTGAATTTCACCATATTTCTGCTTTTATATCTTTTCCTACTTGAGATGGCAACACAGTTCAGACAGATTAAAGAAGTATTAGACTTAAGTATTTTCTATGTTTTTAGAGGAAAAAAAGTAAGCAAAGAATATATCAATATTCGTTTATTTAAGTATGATTTGTCATATTGTGCCATTCAAATCCTTTCCTCCATCATCTAAGAATAGATTTTGACTGGAGAAACCAAAGGGGACATTGGGTAAACTACCAAGGAACTCTCACTGGAGGGTAAATGAAATTTCACCAAATATCATTTGACCCTACTTCTGCAATATTGATTAATCTGTGCTTTTTGTATTGATGGTTCCAGACAATCACCATTACACAATTCCTTCCTTTTTGGTCATTAATATCCCCTCAGAAATATGAATTCCATTAGAAAGAAGATTACTTACATAGTGTAAGTAATAGATTTGTAATAGTTTATGAATTTAGTGTCTTACTAAATTAGTAATTATATCAGTTGGATTTTTTGCCACTGACCAAAATATCTGACAAGAACAATTTAGAAGAGGAAATGTTCATTTTGGCTCATGGGTTCAGAGCCATGGGGTTCTCATGGGTTAATTTTGGCTCATGGGTTCCCTGATTGATTTTGTTGCTCTGGGCCCAAGGTGAGGAAGAACATCATGGTGGAAGATCATGGCAGAGAAAAACTGCTCAACTCATGGCATCTAGAAGCAAAGAGATAGAAGGAAGATTTGGGGGAGAAGATGCAATCCCTAAGGGTACACTCCTATCTTCTCCATCCATATCCTACCTGCCTACAGTTACCATCCAGTACAGTAGTCCTTTCATATTATTAATCCCTAAAGTGGATGAATCTATTGATTAGTTTATGGCTCTCGTAACCTAAGCATTTCACCCCTGAACATTCCTGCATTACCACAGCAACGTTTGGGGGATACTTTATATCCAAACCATAATAGTAACACACATTTTTAAAAGGTTAATGCTTACTGAAGTGATGTTCTCTTTTGGTGTTCCCTTAGATAATAAACAACTCTTCTGTGTCTCCATACATCCCCTCAATACCTTCAGGGTGTTGGTAGCTGGTTCCCTCAGCTCCACAGCCAAGGAAAGTGGACTCAGTAGTGATGAGTGTAAATAAGGAGTGCTCATCAATCCAGTCCTAGTTAATCAAAAATTCGTAAAAGTAAATGGCAAATGGATTCTCTTTGTTAAAATAAAAGTCCCTGCTTTTTTTTTTTTTTTTTTTTGTGGGATCGCTATCTGTCCATCCACAGGCAAAAGTCGTCTAGGATTTCTTTTGTTTTAGTTGCCATCATCTTTACCTTTACTCTAAAAGTACTACCTATAGGAAATACTCAAAACTCTACAGTGCAAATGCTTCCTTAACTTATTAGTTCACTCCCTCACAGAACATGTGAGAAGCATCATGTGAGAAGGACTCACGTTTACCATGTATGTTGAGTAAAGGAATTTCCATGAATTGGAAATTAGCCTAATCCGTACAACTCTATCTGATCTTTTCCTATCTTGCCCCATCAAGATACTTCATTCAGAGGCAAAGTACTTCATTCAGAGGCAAAGTCCCCAAGTGGAAGTGGGGTCCTTTCTAGCTGGACCCTGGAGCATCTGCCTGATCCCTTTATATTTTGCTACAAGCTACTTCTCAGTCCCAGAATGTGGCTTTAGACAACTCCTTTGAGAGAGTAGAGGCCTGTCAATGATCTGAAACTTTAACCATTGTATACTGTTACTGTTTCACTGATGCTGACAGAAGACACAAGTCTCTTGGGTTAGAGACAAAGGACTTTGTTACTATTGGCACAACAAATAACATCAAATATTTGAAAGAGTTTCCTTGCTTCTATATAACACACAGATGGAGTGATGATCCTAGGAAACACTAGTGTACACAATGGGTCACATTACAAAAGAGGAACCCAAGGTTCAGAGGCAAGCACAAAAGCAAACAACAAATAAGTTAATCTCTCTCAACTGTGATCTATTTAATTGACTAAGTGACTAACTAGAGAAACTGTTCAGGTTTAGGAGACAGATTAGTTTTATAATCTGCACACTCTGCAAGAATATGCAGAGATGTTCAGGGTCAATGGCAGACTACATCTTCCAACAGGGCCCATGAACTTTTTATAATCCCAAATTTTTCCTTTCAGAAATTACCTGAAACCAAGGGTCTAAAACACTGATTACTAACAACCAATACTGGCTGTTGAAGACTGCTTAAAATACACCATTAGCTGATGAAGCAAAATAGATAATGGGATAGATGTGGTATCCTATGTTTAAACAAAACCACTCAAAATCCTCTTCCCCAGCCCTTCCACTATTTCAGTTCCTACTGATCTGTTATGTAAGTGCTCAGTTCCTGTTAGATTGTAATATTGAAAAAAGAAACAATACGTATTCTCCAAATTGGATAGGGAACTCTATACAAATAAGAAAAATATGTCTAATAAGCAACAAACTTATTAAGTCCAAAGTGAAACTTCTAGTCTTCTTCACCAGCTTCTCCTCCTACAGTTCCTCTGTCACAGAGAAGACAGTGCCATCTTTCCAGCTGTTCAGAACAACTATCTTGGAATCACTCTTGATTCCTCTTTTTCTCTCCAAGTTCACAGCCCCCTCAATCCGCCAAGTGAATTCAGAAGACACTGTCATTTCTTGCCTGGATTATTACAAGAGTGTGGAACTGTTTTGCTGCCCATCTTTACCTTCTCACACCCATTCTCAATTCAGCAACCAACAAGATCCTTTTAAATAGAAAGCCAGATAATATCACTTCTCTGCTCAAAACCTCCCATTGCCTTTTAACTCATTCAGTATAAAAGGCCAAATTCTCATAGTGAGCTACAGTCTCCTTTACATCTGCAAGCCAACTTCCATCTCTGATCTCTTCTCAACTGCCTCCCCTCTCTAGTTCTATGTACACCCGGCCCAAGGCATTTGCACTGTGACTCCTTCTGCTGGGTGCTCCTCTTTTGGATGTTCACAGGACCAACTTCTGCTTCTCCTTCAGGTCTCCTGCCCCAGCACTCTCCACCCCTTTTCTGCATTACTTTTATCCCTATATTTACCCCTATTTGACATACTACAAATGTTCATTTCTTTGTTATTCTCCTCTGACTAGAACACTTCATGATGTGAGGGATTCTTTTTGTGATTATGTGCATTACTATATTCCCAATACCTAGAAAGTGGCTGCCATACACTAGGATCTACTAACATTTGGATTTTAAGAGGTAATGGAACCTTTAAGAGGTGGAGTTTAGTGCAAGGTAATTAGGTCCCTGAGGACACTGCCCTTAAGAGGTTAGTGCTGGTCTTTTGCAGTATGTTCCTGCCAGAGTAGGTTGTTATTAAGAAAAATATTGGTTCCTCCATACTTTCTGACTTCCTTTCTCACCATGTGACTTCTCCCTCTCACAAATCCTCATACCATGAGGCCATCTGCCACGGGACACTGCCAACAGGGCCTTCATACAACTGAGCAAATATTAGTACCATGCTCTTAATTCTCTAAAACTGTGAGCTAAATAAATTTATTTATCTACATTCAGGTATTTTTATAGCAATGTGAAAACAGACTAATACAGTATCCAATAAATTATTGCTGAATTAATTAATTCAACAGATATTTATCTATTACCTTTCCTGTTTACAGTCTAAGACAGAAAGACAAATCAATAGGTTCTTATAACACAGTTTGTAAGTGGTACATTTGGAGAAGTACAAAGTATTACAGGATTATAAAGGAGGGCTACACTAGGGAGAGCCAGATGAGAATTCTTTTAAAAATAAGGACTTTCAAGGAAGTTCTTTTGTGTAAGTCAGCTTTCCATCACTTTGACAAAATACCTTTGAAAAACAATGTAAAAGAAAAAAAAAACATTTATCTTGGCTCAGTTTCAAATGTATCAGTCAGCTGAGCATGATGGTACATGCCTATAATCCCGCAACTCAAGAGGCTAAGGCAGGAGGATCACAAGTTCAAGACCAGTCTCAGCTACTTACAGAAGACCTATGCAACGTAGAAAGACCTTCTCTCAAAACAAAAAATAATAAGGACTGGAGATGTGGCTTAGTGGTTAAGCACCACTGGGTAACAAAAAATCCCTGGTACCAAAGGAAAAAAAATGTTTCAGTTCATGGTTGTTTGATCCTGTTGCTTCTGAATGCATCACAGATGGGGCAGAACATCATGATAGAAGTACACTGTGGAGGAAACCCCTTCACTTCATGGAAGCCAGGAAGAATGGAGAGAGGGACAGAAAGGGGCCAGAGCCACACTATTCACTTCAGAGGCATGCTCCCAGTGACCTCACTTCCTTCCACTAGGCCCTACCTCCCGAATAGTGCCATGGACTATGTACCAAAGCTTTAAGACAGGATTGTGGGAGACATTCCAGATCCAAACTACAATACCTTCTGACATCCTGCATACTTCAATTTGCTGAACCCAGTATCTTATCCCACCTAAGGAGTTATGGTAATTTTTTTTTAATTGTTATTGTGTGTGTGTGTGTCTATATATATATATATATATATATATATATATATATATATATATATACTGTTAAACTATATAGGATATGTATATATCCTTTATAGTTAATAGTAAAATGAAGGAAAATTTTCTTAATAGTATTTCCAGGGCTGTTGGCACATGCCTATAATCTTAGCTACTCAGGAGGATGCAGCAGGAGGATTGCAAGTTAAGGCGCAACTGAGCATTTTATTTTATTTGAAATAAAATAAAAAGAGCTAGAGATATAATTCAGTGGGAGATCAGTGATCAAGTACTTTTTTTTTTTTTTTACAAAGAAAAGGCCTTGGGTTCCATCCCCAGTAAAATATACACACATAGTAATTTCATGGGAATCAATAAAAACAATTCTCCCATGTAGTTTTTAAAAAATAATTTAAAATTATTTCATACTGTTCTTTTTTACTTTTTATATAAATTTAAGTTTTAAAAGTTACTGAATTTTTTATTTTAATTATGCCAAATTTCTTCTAATTATTCTTAATGTAGAAGCATGTGTCACTACAATTAAAATTTTATGAACATGTATACATTTTTCCCTGATGTTTTCAAAGGCACAGGCCACATACCTCTTTCAAGTCTATATTTTTTAATAGAATATCATTCCATTTGCACATATTTCTCCTTGGCATGATCTGCATAGCTATCTCTGATTTCTTCATTTACTCTCTATATTTTTTCCCTTCTGGGACAATATATATGCAAGTAAGTCATCAAAATAGAGTCTTTTCCTATATACCAAGGCTACAAAATCAGTTTGTTCCTGCAGTTTGCTCCTCAGTATCTTCCTCCTTGCTCTTCATTTTCTTCTTCATTTCTTCTTCCACTCCTAGAAGTTGTGGGTTTGTTTAGTCGGCTGGTTGGTTGGTTGGTTGGTTTTGGAAGGTGGTGGTGGTGTTTAGAGAGTGGAATTTATGTCACATAGGTAACTTAATCCTCGGTGCCAAATACAATTGTCCTTCTATGTCAGGGAGTTTCACATCCAGGATTCAACCAACCAGGAATAGAAAATACCTGGGAAAAAATTGCATCTATCTTGAACATGCACAGACATTTTCCTGGTCACTGTTCCCTAAAAAATATAACAATCATTTATATAGCATTTACATTGCATTAAGCATTATAAGTAATCTAGAAATGATTTAAAGTATATGGAAGGATAAATATTCAGGTTTTATGCAAATGCTCTGCCATTTTATATAAAGGACTTGAGTATCCTCAAATCTTGATATCTGCAAAGGTCCTGGAATTAGTCTTCCATAGGTACCAAGAGATAACCACATGAGTTTCTTTTTCCAAAGACCATGGAAGCTTTGTCTATGTTCCTCTTCATTGCTACCTCTCATTCTTTTGCCTCCTTTCTTTTACCCCCAAGCCCATGGAAAGTAAAACTTATAAACAAAAATCCCCTTAAGGCTTATAAAAATAACAACTGACCCAGTGTTCTACATACTCTGTCACTTGAACTTCATAACACTGCCATGAGGTAGGTACAAATGCAAAATCTTCAGGCTCAGAGAGGGTAGATGACTCATCTGAAATGACCTGAATGTTAAATGATGGAATAATTATTTGTTCTTAAACAGTCTTTTAGTGCCAATCTCTAGCCACTGAGACACTGGTCAGGGAAGTTGACAAGGAGTAACAAAATAGTTGTTATTCCTTGAGAAAAACTGCAGCTGTTTTAAAAAAAATAATAGAAATTGTTGAGATGTAGAACATTAGCAATATTTGGTCCTTGTCTATGAGGAAAGGTAATTTTCTTAGTCCATTTTGTGTTGCTGTAACAAAATGCATGAGGCTAGATGCCTTACAAAGGAAAGAGTTTTATTTAATTCACAGTTCTGGAGCTCTAAGAGCATGTACCAGCACCTGTTCAGCTTCTACTGTGGGCCTCAAAAAGATTCAACTCATGAAGAAAAATGGAAAGCAGAGCATGCAGAAGAACACATGTGCAACAGAGACCAAGGTGAGGTAACAGACTTGCTAACTTGCGTTACAACGACCTACTTTCATGATGACAAATCCGGTCCTGTCAGTGAGAATTCACTCCCAAGGGCAGGGGGGTGAACAATCCCTCTTGAGGATCCTTGACTTCTCCATACTGTTAATTGGAGACCAGGCCTGCCCTTGAGTTTTCATGGGGACAACTGCAGTCAAACCATAGCAGTAGTAGGATCATGATTTTAGATTCTTCTTTTCTAGTTCTCTAGGTTTTATTCTAGGGTGACTCCTACCCAATTTTATTTGACTAGAACGCTGATAAAGCTAGATTAGGCCCCAGGATGATTCAAGTTGACATTATTGATGAGCACAGTTCTCAGAGTCCCAACAACTTTCAGAAGCTGCCTTCCTGTGCATACTTCCTTTCTACCCCATCAGACCTCTGACTCAAGACCAAGCTTCATTTGTTTCTCAGCAGCCACTTGAGGACAGCAAATCCTGAAAGATTCTGCCCTTGTTGCTGGGCCTTCCCTACCTAGTCCCAAAGATTCCTCTCCTTGGATTCAAATTAACCTTGCGTTGAATTGGCTTGGATATTTTTTCCTTCCCCTGTACATTGACTCTAATCCAGAAGTTTCTATGGCCCTGGCTTCCTGGAAAAAAAGAAGCTGCCCTTTCCTTTGTCTCTTTTCCTTTTCAGTTTGCTCAAAATATTCATCACCAACCCATTCAGGTTGTTTTTTTTCCTCAAATAAATCTCATCTCCTTTTTAGTACACTTACACTATTCAGCTGGCCCATTCATGGTGGGGCCTGGTGACCACAGTAGCAGGTGCCACTCTTGGGGAATGCATCTACCTTGCATAGAGTCTTCCAACACCAGCTGATACTTCCTGTTTGAAAGCTTGAGCCAAAAGTAGACCCACCAGTAAGTCAGTTTCTAGCTGGGGGTAATTTTCTAATTCTCAGCTTATTTGCACAACAGAAATAGAACTAAATTCAGGGATATCCATGTCTGCCCAGTAGCCAGCTGGGCCAGCCTTATTCTCTTCTCCCCATTCTCTCTCAAGCGTCATCTGTGAGCTCACAGTCTTCCACATAAGAGAACCATCCTTTAGCCTAGGATGTGGGACATTCTTACAGTACTATTAACAGTACTTTTCATATATCAGTATTTCATACACAGTAGTTAAAATTTTTGTCATGGGTGAGTACCATCTGTACTATGGATTTCTTCTTTACATCAAATCAGTTTTTAACTTTAAACTGAATTTACTTTCATGTTGCCCTAAATAATATATCTTTAAAATCAGTGCTTGAGTCCACTGCTTATATATTTTAACTAAAAAAATACTTATGAGAATTGAGTCCATCTGTGTCGATGTAATTCAACAATTTATTCTAGTAAATTCTTGCCACCTAAACTGTTTGCCAACTAAAATCACCTCATATACTATGAATGGTACAAAAAAATTTCCTTTCCCTCCTTTATTTCTCTTCTCCTCCTCATGTTCTCACCAACAATTCCATTTTGCATCTAATAGGTCCCCATCTTCTGTGACTCTGAAAACAAGACACAAACTAAGGGGAAAGGCATTGATCAACCAGGATGGAAGGAAGAAGAAGAAGAAAGAGAGAGAGAAGAGAGATCAGGCTGAAGGGAACACTAGGGAGACAGGGCTCTCACTCCTCCCCCAAGTGCTGCTCTGTTCACACAAAACACTGTCATCGTGTTTGGATATCAATCACCCAGGTTGGTGCCCCACTTTGAGAAGGAAACCCATCAGAAATCTACGTGCTCTGTAAAATATATAATGCAGCACAAAAATAAGGAAAACAATTCCCATGAGATTTATGATAAATTAAACATAGTTGTAAATAGATTGAGAGGAGAGTTAAGGCTTTTGTCAGATTGCGCTGAAGAAGAAGAAACTGGGGCTTACTGGGGGCCAGGCTCACTTCTAGGCTTTAATTGTTGAAGGACATTTACAATTCCAAGACATAGACATCTAGGGCAATAAAGGAAGACAAGAACTATTTTTAAAAGGGCCAGAAAATTGGTGACTCTAGCTATTTCTAATAGCTACTTAAACTGGGCACCTACCATATGATGGGCACATTTACAACAACTTCAAGCAAAAAAGAATTGTTAGCTTCATTTTGAGATTAGGATGTTGTCTTAGTCCATTCACTGCTGCTACAGCAGGATATCAAAGAATATGTAAATTATAAAGAAAATACATCTACAGTGCATTCTACTGTCATATGTAACCAATTAAAACAAAATTTTTTAATATTTATTTTTTAGTTATAGGTGGACACAGTATCTTTATTTTATTTTTATGTGGTGTTGAGGATTGAACCCACTGCCTCAAACATGATGGGTAAGCACTTTACCTCTGAGTCACAGCCCACCTGTAAACAAATTTTAAAAATTAAAAAAAAAAAAAAAAAGAAATCTGTTGGCTTGTAGTTCTGGATGCTGGAAGTCCAAGATCAAAGGGCTATCTGTTGGTGAGGGCCTTCATGCTGTGTCAAAACAAAGCAGAAGGATAAGGGAGCACATGAAATTTGGAGCGGGATGCAAGCGGGAGTTGAGCCTAGAACAAATCCACTATCACCATCACTAACCCATTCCTATGATGACAGTCCTAGTCCATTTGGGAGGGGAGCTCTCATAACCTAATCATCTCTTAAAAGTCCCATCTCTCAATATGGCTACAATGGTAATTAATTTTGACATGAATTGTGGAGGGACATTTAAACCATAGCGGACACCAAGGATCAGCTAGCAAGTTTCTGGATCAAAATTAAAAACTAAATTTTTCCTGCTCCAAAGGCTATGCCTCATCATTATGAAGATTCTGATGATTCCAGATCATTCATACAATATCTTTAAATCAAATAGAAAGAATAGATTGGGCAAGCAGTATATAATTAATCATTTATGTACCTTTAACTCTATCCTGTTTACTACCTTGTCCTATCTTAAACAAGTTTTTAGAAAGAGTTATAAAAACATGTTTATAAATAATTGACTAGAAATATAATAAATTGTATTTAGTTTGCTTTAGTTTGATTTTTTTTAGAAAAATAGAACATGGCTTTTGAACTTTTTTGACCTTGACCAACAGAATGAAAATCCCTTTACATTATACCCTAATACCCACAAATATACATCTATGTTACAGAAGTTTTACAGAACAATATCTACTCATGAGAAGTACTGGGACATTTTAGATTCTGTCTAGTCTTCTTCTTTCTTTCCTTTTTATTTTTTCTGTTTCATAATCTTTCTTATCTTTTTTTTTTAATTGTGGTAAGACCACAATAGGAGATCTACCCTCTTAGAACTTTTGGTGTACACAGTGTTGGTAACTACAGGCATGATGTCATGTAGAACATACTTGTTTTGCATAACTGAAACTTTATATTCATTGAACATCTCCCCCATTTTCCCCTCCCTGCAGGCTCTAACAACCATCCTCTCTCTGCTTCTATGAGTTTGACTATTTCAGTTATCATATATAAGTGGAATCATGCAGTAGAAAACAGATTAGAAGTCCCTCAAAACAATTAAAATAGATATTTTCATTTTTTGTCTTTTCTTTTTTATTGCTGGTCTTAGACCACTTTACTGATGTCAGGATCCACTATACTGCTTTTGCAGCTAAGAAGCTTGAAGCCAAGTTCTAAAACTACTCTTTTGCCTTAGGTTACACAAAAGAACAGGTAAAGACTTTGTGGGGGGGGGGGTAGCAAAGACAGATGTAAAGGGAGGAAAGAAGATAAATTTTTAAAAGTAACTATTGATGGCAACTCAGTGGAAATCTTAAGACACCCTTATGCATTTTTAATTCTTGAAAAGAAAAGAAGATGCTGCTTATATGCTGCTTTTTTCCCTAAAGACTGATCAAAGATGATAAGATAACACATTTACTTCACTAAGCAGACATTTCAATGTCCAAAGGAAACTAAAACTCAAAGGTTAGGTCAGCTTAGGTAATATTCATCTGTTCATTTGTTAACAGGGCACATCTCTCTTTGAAGCAAATGCACCAAAGAATAGGTGGATCATTGTCCACTAGATGGCAATATCGAACAGAAATAGCCTTTGCCTGAGCCTCCTTCCTGAGGCTAGCATGGTGTGTGCCTCAAAGGAATTTTGAAATCTAGGGTTACCGATAATTCATATAAATTCTGCCTGCAAGTTTGCTCACTGCTCCTAACATCTTTCTACCTTTTCTTGGAACATTCCTGGATTTCCACTTCATTCTTGCTGACAGGCTGGCATCTAAAATTAGTAACTTCATTGACTATTTCCTTATGGCAATGCAGATGAGTTGCTGCTGTGTAAAGTCAAAATCAGTATACTGTCTGCATCTGTTAATAATCTAAAAGGTAACAATATGCACTAAGCTTTTATTTTAGCTCCTTTCATCTAACATCTAAAAAACACTATGGGTCCTGATGTCATTTCCCATTGCTATATTTCTTCGTTGCTCTATAAAGCCACTGGAAATATTTGATGAACATTTTGGTTGTTATTGCTCAACTAGAAAGATTGGTCTTCTTGGATACACACTGGCAATCCATTTTCCCTGAAAGAGCTAATAAATGATAGATGAAAATGTATCATAAACAAAAAATGTATACTTTTTTGCAATAGTAATAGCCTTTTGAAATAAATACATGTATGAGATTTTAAAATATTAAAAAATCCTCATGGGTGATGAAGGTTTGCATAATTTTTGATTTGCATAATTGATAATATTTTTTAAAAATTTTTTTAGTTGTAGATGGACACAATACCTTTTTTTTATTTATATTTATGTGGTGTTGAGGATTGAACCCAGTACCTCACACATGCTAGGCAAGCGCTCTACCTCTGAGCCACAACCGAGCCCCTATATTTGCTTATTTTTAGAATATTTTTGAAATATATAAAAGAGAAGATATTTATGAATCATTTTCTTTTGCTATTGATATTTGCATATCATTTGAGCTTTGTGACTATGTATTATTTTACCAATAGAATAATAAAAACATTTTTAATTATAGAATGATATATAACTGTGAGTGAAAACATTAATTTTATTATGATGCAATCTAGTAAGTTATTATTAGTAGGTCAATGAATCCTCACACCACTTAGGTGCTGTATAGTTTGATCTTTAATATGACTTGCTGATTTTGGAAATAATTTCTGGACCTAGGTCATTTTTACCATATTCTTATGTATAATTTAATATACTTCTTAAAGTAGAAAGAAGTTGTTCATTATTCTTATTATGAAAACAGATAACCAGTAGTAGTACTTATAGTTCTAAAAAACAGCAAAATCAGTATATTTAACATTTTACTATTCTTGAAGCTACTCAACTGATGGTTTATAGTTTTATAGTCTAAGAAGCACTCTGGCATACATTCGTTCACTCGGTACTCCTAATGATTATACAAGACAGATGGGACACATAGATATAAAATTCTAAGACATTCAGAATATCTGTAAAAGGTGGGGTTCTCTATATGTGGAAGGACCAACCATTTGATTTCTGAGTTCAGGTCATGTGTCTTGCATTTTGTGGTCCTAGAGACTGGGCCTCCAAACATTTCATAGGTATAGATGAGGAAGAGGAAGACTTCTTACCAGTCATTTAAAATTCTGGATGCTCTGTGTTGCTTTTTCTTCCTCTTCAGGCAGGGAGTTGGCTGGGGGAGGGAAGAGGAACACAGAAGGACAGGAATCATACAGAACAGGCTGTGCCCATTATGTTCTCATTCCCAATGTTGAACGAGTTCTTTATGGCAGCTCTCTTAGGTACACAATACAGACCTTATTAATGCCGAATCTTAAAATCATATTAATTTGTGATATTGGTCATTGCCTTTCATGTTACATCTTCCTGCAGCATGTCCACGTGTTCATTCAACTGATGAAAACAGAAGTCCCCATTTGTTTTTCAAGGAATACATTACAAGATGCCCAGTGAATGCTTAAAGACACAGATAGTACAAAATTCTATATATATCATGTTTTTCCCTATCCACAGATATCTATTAAAAGTTTAAATTATATATTAAGAACAGAAAGAGATTAAAAACAATAGAACAATAATAAAATAGGCCAATTATAACAATGTACTGTAATAAAAGTTAAATGAATGTTATCTTCTCTCTCTCTTTCTCTCTCTCAAGATATCTTTCTGTATTGTACTTACCCTTTTTATGATGCTTTGAGATGATAAAATGCCTACATGGTAAAAGGCCTAAAGAGTGAATGATGTAGGCATTGTGACAGACATAGAATTAGGTCTCTGTATAAGGGTTACTTGAACACAAGCACAGCAATACCATGGCAGTGGATCTGAAATAAGATAGCTGCTAAGAAACTAAATTGTGGATAGAATGTAGTATGGATACCCTGTTGCCACAGTCTGGCTGGGCACAAAATCACGAGCCACTCAAGCAGGAACAAACTTTATTTCTGAAACTCCCGCCAATGCCACGCACGCTCCCGGGAAATATGCCGAACCACACATGCGGTGTTCTCCTGGGCCACACTACACCAACCGGAACTTCCCTCCTCCGGAAATCCCTCCTACTGCACTTCCCCAACCAATGGGAACTCTCCGGGAGTCCCACTAGAGCTCCAAAGTAGCAGGCCAAGGTGAACAGCAGGGGTCTAATATCCAATTGAATGCAGATCTTAACATAATCATATCATCTCCATGGCTTGCTGGCGTCACCTTTCAAACAAAGATGCCATGCATCATTCCTACATGGCTATGGCTCTCAGCATCTCCCCCCTTCTGTTTAATTAAGCAACAAGCAATGTGGCTTAGGGACCGTGCCTGTTAGGTTGTCCAATACAACATATGGTCCTTACCCGTCATCGGATGAGCTGACCTCTAGGCGTCAGCCTCCTGTCTTAGGTTGGTACCACTGCAATTGGATCATACCCATCACTGACTACCAGTCCAGCATACAGCCATACTTGTGGATAGGCCTATGCACCAGTGGGGGGTGAGGTTCTTTGCCTCACCTCTGTTGGCCCCCAAATTTGGTCTTGGTGCCAGTGGGGGGGTGAGGTTCTTTGCCTCACCTTTGTTGGTGCCCAAATTTAGACCATCACTAGTAGAAGGGAGAAGGATACAGAAATGCCACGACACCAAGCCAATTGATGGCTTGCGTGTGTGTGGTTCGCCGCGTGTGTGGTTCACCGCTTGTGTGGTCCGGCATATTTCCCGGGAGTGTGCGTGGCATTGGCAGGAGTTTCAGAAATAAAATTTGTTCCTGCTTGAGTGGCTCGTGATTTTGTGCCCAGCCAGACTGGCATTTGGTGGCCCATGCAGGGGACGCCTGAAGCTCGGAGGTAAGTAAAATTGCTCGCCCCTGAGGGAAGGTGAAAGAATGGGTGACCATTTCAAAAAACAATGTCTTCTTGTTTTGATTTATTTTGTTTTTGTTTCAAGCTGCCTATCCCTAGAACTTTCTCAGGCAAACGGGGAAAAATGGTTGGCTCAAGGTTTGAAGTTGTTCGGCCCTGAGGAAGAGAAAATTGATACAACGATTTTTTTGTTCCGTTTTTGTTTCATTCTGTTTTGGTTTTGTTTTATGTAATCTTATTGGGTTGCGTTATCTTTATAGTAGATTAGAAATTAGTGAAAAACAAACCGAAAGAGTGTTAAGTAAATTGTTAGAGGTCCAGACTATGGTAGAAAACATGTTAGATCAAGCAAAAGAGAAGGTCTCTCAGGCTATTCAGATAGAGGAAGAAAATTCAAAGGAAGAAAGCTTAGAGGACAAACAGCTATCAGGAGGGAAGCTACAACAGGAGGCTGCTACTAACTCCGTTCTATCACCAGAGGGCGTAATTCAACCACAGCTCCATCTATAGAGACAGCTGAGTGGCCCTCAACCCCAGTAGTTGATAGATGGAATCCTGAGGCAGGACCTCAAAGATTAGCATGCCCTGTACTTGAGCAGGCAGGAGGGCAACGAATTCACCATGCTTTAGATTTCAAAACAGTGAAGCAATTAAAGGAGGCTGTAACAACCTATGGTCCACAAGCACCCTTCACTGTAAGCATGGTCGAATCCATTACCAACTTGGACATGACACCAGCAGATTGGGCTAACATGTGTAAATCTGTGCTAAATGGAGGACAGTATTTGTTATGGAAGGTTGCCAATGAGGAATTTTGCACAGAGACAGCTAGGCGAAATGCAGCCAGTTACTCTCAAAGAAATCTAGATATGTTGTTAGGAAAAGGACCTTATGAGGGTCAACAGCAACAAATTGAATATGATCTTGCTACATATGCGCAAATTGCTGCAGACACAGTTAGGGCATGGAAGACTTTACAAGGACATGGAGATTTACAAGGTCAATTATCTAAGGTAATACAAGGAGCTAATGAACCTTACGCTGAATTTGTAGATAGGCTTATTCAAACAGCTGCCAGAATTTTTGGGGATACAGAACAAACAATGCCATTAATAAAACAACTGGCTTATGACCAAGCAAATCATTACTGCAGAGAGGTCATTAGACCATGGAGACATGAAGATTTAAACACATATATTAAATTATGTAGAGACATTAATGAACAAGGGCAAGTCTTGGCAGCTGCAGTACAACAGGCTTTAGATGCCAGGCCAAAAACATGCTACAATTGTGAACAAACAGGACATTTTAAAAGGAGTTGCCCCATAGGAGGAGGGTTTAGCAAAACTAGGTATCAAAGGAATAGAATACCGGGTATTTGCCCACGATGCCATAAAGGGAGACATTGGGCTAATGAATGCCGTTCTCAAACTACCATAGAGGGTACTCCGTTATCAAAAAACGGACAAGGACCAAGTGTTTACCCACAATATCATGGAGAAAGGCATCAGGCTCCATTGCCAAAAAATGGACCGGGGGGCCCAATGCTCCGGGGCCCACAACCACAAATATACGGGGCAATGGAGGAACCCAGCAACACCATCAGGGTAGTGCCCAGGACACATTATCCATTAAATCCCTCATCAGACAAACCAGAGGGAACGTAGAGTTGGACATCTGTGCCTCCACCAGAGCAGTACTAACTCCAGAGATGGGAATTCAAATCATTCCCACAGGAGTAAAAGGACCTCTTCCCCAAGGAACAGTAGGCTTATTATTGGGACGCAATTCTTCTACACTAAAAGAACTTATGATAAGTCCTGGGGTAATTGATCCCGATTATGAAGGTGAAATAAAAATTATAGCTAGTTCTCCAAGAGGTATATCAGTAATTTCACCAGAGGATAGAATAGCACAGTTATTAATAATACCCAGCCTGCATGATAAATTTTCCAGTCATACTGTAGAAAGAGATTCCAGGGGATTAGGCTCCACAGGTGTGGATTGGGCTATGCTGTCTTTAAATTTAGATTCTCACACAATGCTAAAACTAAATATTCAAGGACATGAATTTAATGGGCTACTGGACATAGGTGCTGACCTTAGCATCATATCTCGTCAAGAATGGCCAAAACATTGGCCATTATAACAAGCCACTCTAACGCTTCGAGGCCTCAGAGTGGCAACTAATCCCCATAGAAGTGCAATGGTATTAGATTGGAAGGATCCTGAAGGATGTGAAGGAACTATACAGCCATATGTATTGGATCATCTTCCTATAAATTTATGGGGATGAGATGTTCTAGATCAATTAGGTTTGACATTAACAAATAACATCAATCCTAATGCGCCCACTACTAGGGCTAGACAAGGTTTTAGGAAAGAAAAAAGATTAGAAGAACAAAAACAAGGTATAGCAGCACCAATTAAAATAGATCAAGGAATAAATAGACATGGATTGGATTTTCAGAAGGGGCCACTGAGACAATCAAAATTACTTGAAAGTCAGAAAGACCAGTATGGGTTCCTCAGTGGCCCCTGACTAAAGAAAAGATACAAGTAACCCATGACCTGGTCAAACAACAATTAGCAGAGGAACATATACAACCTTCCATATCTCCCCATAATACTCCCATTTTTGTCATTAAAAAGAAATCTGGTAAATGGAGATTATTGCAAGATTTATGAGCCATTAATAATGAGATGGTTATTATGGGACCTGCTCAATCAGGGATTCCCCAACTGTCTGCTTTGCCAAAAACCTGGTATGTTTTAGCTATAGATATTAAAGATTGTTTTTTTTCAATTCCAATTCATCCTGAGGATAGTCCATGTTTTGCATTTACTATCCCTGCACTGAATCATGAAGGTCCTGATCAGAGATATGAATGAAAAGTACTCCCTCAAGGGATGGCTAACAGCCCAACTATGTGTCAAATTTATGTTAACAAAGCAATCCAGCCACTTAGAAATCAAAATCCTGAACTACAAATATTTCACTATATGGATGATGTATTATTGGCACATAAAGATAAAAACACATTGCTAGAATGTTATGCCACACTTACAAATTATTAAAAATTATAATCTAGAGATAGCAATAGATAAAGTACAATTAAATCTTCCAATTAATTATTTAGGAGTTCTATTATCCTCAACCATGGTCCATTCACCAAAAATTCAAATACGAGTAGATCAACTCAAGTCACTTAACGACTTTCAAAAGTTATTGGGAGCCATAAATTGGATAAGGCCTTATCTAGGCATACCAACAGGAGAGTTGGGACCTTTATTTGATATCCTAAAAGGTCCATCAGATCCA